TAGTTTCGGATGGCTAGCAAAGGCTGCCATTTAGGAACCTGCATGGTTAGTTTCCTGCGAAGTTTACCTCAAATAAAATTTGGCTGATGCATATTATAAAAACTTAGAAAAGAAAAACTAAACAATACAACCTGCAAAAAAAGAGGAAAGATGTTAGCGTTAGGGGGTTCAAAGGTTTGGTGGCTGTCAAAGGTGGATGGTTGACAGAGTCTAATTGCTGGTGAGGTTTGATGGTTGATGAAGTCTAATGGTTGGTGAGGATCACTGGTGATTGCTAGACTGAAGAGCAATGACTGTCATACTCTGATGATTTTCAATGACTCGGCACTTGATGGAACCCCAATGCAAAGGCCAATATTGGTGAAATTTGAATGTCGCTATATCGATAATTGAGAAGATGAATTGTCCAATGAAAACCGTCGACTGATGAAAACACCAAAAGCTATTTGAAAGATATATAGTGAAGGCCAAACATTTTATGAAGACCACAGATTGATGAAAGAACCATAGAGTGAGATGAAAACCAATGGCTGATGAAATCCACTGACTAGTGAGAGCCATTGACTAATGAAGGTTGTTGTTTAATGAAAACCATTGACTGATGAAGTCCACTGATTGGTTAAGGTCGCTGACTAAAAAAGGCTGTTGATCGATGATAACCAATGATAGATGAATGCCGCTAACTAATAAAGTTCACTAACTGACAAAGACCACTGAATGACGAAGGCCACTAACTAATGAAATCTGCTTACCGATTATAAACAATGAATCAATGATAAATGAAGGACGTTGACTGATGAAGGTCACTGATTGATGAAGGCCACTGACTAACGAGGGCTGCTAACTGATTGTAACAAATGATAGATGAAGGGCGCTGACTAATGAAGGTCACAGACTGAGGAAGGCCCTTGACTTATTATAACCAAGACCGCCAATTGATGAAGGTCACTGACTGACAAAGGCTGAATTTCATGAGGGCTACTAACTAATGTAAACTAATGTATTTTGAGATTGTGAAAAATGTCCATACAACAAAGAAAATATACTCTATGGGAGGGTTAGCTTGGGAGGATATGGGATACGTATAGTGGTGGTTACCTGCATGTTAGTAACAAAAATAGATTCAAAATAAGAGAAGGATAGGTGTTTTGAGTTAGCCGATTAAGGCCAAGGATGTATAGCCACTCAGGCCATGCTTTTAGTGCGGCAATCGGTCGCAAAAATTTTCTTGGTCACATTGGTGACAAATTGTGTGAGAAGGTTAATTTTTGAAATTTGTCTTCAGAAAGATGAATGTTAGGTCAAAATTGTGATGGAAGTAAATGACAAGTCCAAAAGTTATTAAGCATTATAAGCTTGTGAGAATTTATAGGTTGATGAGAAATACTCACTTGTGTTGGCTTGGTTCATGTACATGGATACTCTCAACACATTTAAAGAAGTTCGACGTCGGGGGTCGGACATCATGGGTCGGGCATCGGGGGAGGAGTTCGAACACCATGGAGAAGTCCGGGTGAAAGCCCTAGTTTGGTTTTAGATAATTGATAAAACCTAGCACTAACCTTTGTCATGAGCTATGATATGAGTAGGTTGGTGCAATCCAAGTGTGGAGCATGGTGATGAAGTCCATGGAGATGAAGATGGATATGTGTTGATGATGATCAAGCTCTAACTTGAAAAAAGAAGAAAGAGAAAAATAAAACCAAGATGATCAAGGCAAAGGTATATGATAGGTTTTTGTTTTGGCACTTAAGACACCATAGAGGGTGTAAGTGTATGTAGGATCGATAGCCGTACTATAAAGAAGGGAAATCTTTGGCTAAACGGTTTATCGAGTGCCACTAGGTGACATAACTTTTGCCTATGCATTTAGGAACCTAGTGTGCTAACTTTGACTCTTGTAAAATGCTTTGAAAAATGCTAACACATGCACACAAAGTTTTACACTTTGTGGTTAGCAAGTTGGAAGCAAAGGCGAAGTGGTTGTGGACTTAGAAAAAGAAAAGGAGGAGCTGCACGTTATCGGATGTTGGATCGGATGTTGGACATTTTAAACCTTGGCGTGAAAATGGCCGAAGGGCTTGAGTTTTGATCGGATGATGGCACGGCTTTTAAACCTTGGCGTGTGCTAAATCGGCGCAATCAACGTGCATGGTCCGAGTTTTGATCGGATGATGGCCTGGAGAGAGAGACCAAGGCGTCCGGTCACTTGTTGAGTGCTAGAGTCATCGTTGACGACGCGTCCGATCAATAAAAATACGCCTAGAAGTCGAACTCTGCTTGATGGGGCGTCAAGTCACTTCAGCAGTGCGTACGGTCCTAACTTAAGTGTTCACGCGATCGGGAGCTGGCCGTTGGAGATAAACGGACGAGGTTTAAAAGAACACTGGCGCATCGACGACGCATCGTCGGCTGGCGTGGACACGTCCCGTCAAGATTACAGTAGCGTCCTCCCTTGGCCCTAACGGCTCTATTCGTTTGGGGACGTCTATAAATAGTGTTTGGTCGGCTTGGGGCTTACTCTCTTGGCACTTTGACATACTTGATCCTTGTGAGCCTAAGCAAACACCTTCCACTCATCTCCTGGAACATCATCATAGTAAGATTGGGAGTGATTCCAAGTGCATTTGCTTGAGTGAACTAGTGGCGCTTGGCGATCATTGATGGGGGATTCAAGTTCTCTTTGGTGGTTGCCACCACCTAAACGTCTTGGAGCAGCGGAGGAGCTTCGGCATGTGTTCGTGATTTATTCGTGGCCAACTCCAGTGATTGTGAGGGGCCTTGTACCTTCCCCAGCGGAGAGCCGAAAGGTAACTCTAGTGGATTGCTCGTGTCATTGAATTACCTTACTTGTGGGTAGGTTCATGCAGTGTCCAATTGTGTGGATGACGTGCAACAGGTTTAAACCATCAAGTGCGTGACACCCGGGACTAGCGTGCCGGCAAGCACATGAACCTCAGGAGAAAAATTGGTTGTTTCTTGCCCTTTGGTATTCTCCCAGTGATTGAATTGGTATTTATCTTGTGATTGGTTCATTCCTCGACATGGCGGTATAATCACCCTACTCACTCACTTACATTACTTGCAAACTAGTTATCAAGCTCCCTAGTTGGACTTGTTATGTTTTTTTAATGAGAGCACACTAGAGCCCTCAAATTGTTTAGGTGGTTTGCAACCCTTATAGAGCTAGAGCAAAATTGCATTACGCCATTTGTTGTACTAATCAATTGCTTTGTAGAGATTTTAAATAGGCTATTCACCCTCCCCTCTAGAGGCTAGGAAGAGGTCAAGGGACGGGGTAGAAGTCCAAGCGTCAAGGGGGCCTATTTGGATCTTGTAGGGGGAGGTAGAGTCATTTGGGAGGAGTCGGGTGGTGGCTCCTAGGCCAGACAAAGGAGACCGTCTATGCCTAGGATAGGATATCAGGCACGGGAGAAGATGTCAGATGGAGGCAGAGCCACCGGGAGGAGTCCGGGAGAAGGGCGGGGCATCGATCGAGTGGTAACATGCCGAGGTTGCGGGTGGTAACATGCCGAGGTTGTGCGAGTAGGGTTCTGGATGGTGCGGGGAGATAAGCTTTCAAATCATAAAAGGAGGGTCCTCCTCTACGGTTTCCAGGAATGGGGGACCAAGGGGAGAATTTGAGCCTCCTACTTTTAGGGGCCCTATTGGACCTATGTTTTTTTAATCCGAGCCCTTAAATTTTAGTTTAGGGGCGGGTTCTACTGGGGTTGCTCTTCGAGGCTTAGGGCCTATTTGGCAGGGCTCCTCCCTGGCTCCGGCTCTGGCTCCTCCGGAGTAGCCCTGCCAAACGTATTGCCGGAGGAGCCGTTTTTTAGGGAAAAACAGAGGAGCCGGAGCCGGCTCCGCCAGAGGAGCCTCTTATGAGGAGTCCTGCCAAACACTCCCTTAATGAATTTATGGTTTAAGGGTGTTCATGCCAAATCTCTATCTCTTATAAAAGGAAAACCCCACCACGATATTTTTCTCTAATTTCGTGAAGCCGCATCATCTCAAGACCCACCAAATCACTAAGTTCAGTTATAAATTGCACTCCCACCAAATACCAATGAGGAATGAAGGGACATCAAATAATTGCGGCAAAAACCATGGAGGAACCAAGGGTCATGTAACATTATTTATCCATCATGCACATGGACAGCCTACGACTCCACACAATAAATTGGAATTTAACCATATCGGCCGCTTCCTCTCCCCAATGCCATATATATTTTGCCTCGGCCAAAGCCACCGCACAGCTAGACACGTACTCTCGACTGCAGCCTCCGTGTCTGCTATCAAAATGCAAACTAATTGGCAATCTGGCACCATGCAGCATACACCATCAATCTATAGGTTCACCACATGCGGCTCCATATATGAGTATCTCAACAAATTCAGGGGTACCGCTGCTGCACATGCTTCCTCTTCCTCTGTTGCTAGAGAATCAATTCTCTCCCAGAAACTATATTATCCACAAATCATGGTCAGGTATTTCTCTCTTGCTTCAGCGTATTACATATATAATCATCCATTTTTTTCAATTTGATTCTACAGTTACTCCTTACTGTTTTAACGTGATTACCCCCTGAGAGTGGAGCCTAGGCCAGTGTAGTACACAGCCCGGGGCGTGGTGCAAGAATACAAATTGAGCACGCTGATTGTGGCCCAAATGGAAATATATGGGATATATAAGACAAGATTGTTATTGATTTCCCTATAACGACACAAGCGGCATTCAGCTAATCTGAAAGAAAGGCCAAAACCATGTAACTCTTGCGGTCTTCCCCTCACTTGGATCACAAGATGATGCAAGCATTGGTCCCAAATTTCCCCTTCCCGTCAGTCAGCTATGGTTGACCACAAACGCAGGCAGGCATGCAGCTCTACTTCGCAGCACTATAAATAGGGCCATGTGCCCACCCCTCTGAAATCGAAGCTGCCGTAGAGACCTTGCTGCTTCAGCAAGTAGCTTCACCGAGTGTGTGCAGGAGGTTGCCATGGCGGCTCCTACCTTGATGCAATGCTTGGTCGCCATTTCCCTCCTCTCCTGTGCCGCCCAAGCACAGCTCTCGACCACGTTCTATGCGTCCTCCTGCCCCAACCTGCAGACCATCGTGCGGACGGCGATGACCCAGGCCGTCAGCGCTGAGCAGAGGATGGGCGCCTCTCTGCTCAGGCTCTTCTTCCACGACTGCTTTGTTCAAGTACTAGCTAGAATCCTCACACTACTCATCTAGCAGTTCTTAACAACTAACAACACACCATTTCTGCATGCTATGCTGGACAATTCAGTTTAACTGAGATGATGATGATGATGATGATGACAGGGTTGCGACGGATCGATCCTTCTCGACGCCGGAGGGGAGAAGACGGCCGGCCCCAACGCCAACTCGGTGCGCGGCTTTGAGGTCATCGACACCATCAAGACGAACGTGGAGGCCGCGTGCCCCGGCGTCGTGTCGTGCGCCGACATCCTCGCGCTTGCCGCGCGCGACGGAACGAATCTTGTACGCATGTCATATCAGTTAGTTATCTGGTGTGTATGGTCGGTCAAGGGGCATGCGTCTGACACTTTTCCTTCCTTTGTTGTTGTGCGTACCGCGTACGTAGCTCGGCGGGCCGACCTGGAACGTGCCGCTCGGCCGGCGGGACTCGACGACGGCGAGCGCCTCCCTGGCCAACAGCAACCTCCCGCCGCCGACGGCGAGCCTGGGCACGCTCATCTCCCTGTTCGCCATGCAGGGCCTGTCGGCGCGCGACATGACGGCGCTGTCGGGCGCGCACACCATCGGGCAGGCCCGGTGCACCACCTTCCGGAGCCGCATCTACGGCGACACCAACATCAACGCCTCCTTCGCGGCGCTCCGGCAGCAGACGTGCCCGCGGTCCGGCGGCGACGGCACCCTGGCGCCCATCGACGTGCAGACGCCGGCGAGGTTCGACACGGACTACTTCACCAACCTGCTGTCGCAGCGGGGCCTGTTCCACTCGGACCAGGAGCTCTTCAACGGCGGGTCGCAGGACGCGCTGGTGAGGCAGTACAGCGCCAGCGCCTCGCTCTTCAACAGCGACTTCGTGGCGGCCATGATTAAGATGGGCAACGTTGGGGTGCTCACCGGCACCGCCGGACAGATCAGGCGCAACTGCCACGTCGTCAACAGCTAGATAAATGCCTAGATACCGATCGGATATATATACTTCTAGCTTGCTCATCGATCGACCGCCCATGGATGGAATGATGGATCGACCGACATGTAAGCTAGCTATAGCTAGCTTCTCATGAACTACAGTACTCTATATATATAGCTATAGATAGAACTCATCAGTACGGAGTAGTGGAATAACGACCACGCAAGGAGTGAACGAAGCAGTGTCACTTACATGGCCAGGTTACGGAGACGCAACTACATATATATAAATACCATCCATGTTTACTATATGGTCATGTCATGTGTTCGAACATCAAAGCGGTGAAGGCGCACTGGGGAAGAAAATCGCTCATGTTGTATCATCTCGTTCGACTGTTATACTCTAGTCCTGTCACGTGTTCTCCACTAAAAAACCCTAAATTTAAACAAGGCCTCACGGGTCTGCCTACCTACGGGCGCCCTGCCAAAGGTTTTGCCCGTAGGTTTGGTGGCGGTCGACAGGACGGGGCAGGTGCGGTTCACTGGCACTGGATGAACACGTACACGTGGACCTGGCGGATGAGGACACGCACGGGGCCAACCAATCCACTCTCCACGGCGACGAACAGAGGCAGAGTGGACGTGTGGTGTGCTCGCAAAACCAGGAGGACAGGTATGTCGACCCTACCCATGCTCCCTCCAGCAACTTGAACTAAAATTATTCGGGTTCAGGCTCTGTGCTCTTGGCCGCAGCTGATATTTTGTTCAGGGACGTTGCCTCTTATTTTAGTTGTAGAGATCGACCGATCTGCCTCGATCCAGATTCGGCGTAATTGTGCCACTAATACCTACTTACTGGACCAAGAAGATTCTTAGTTTCTGGAGTAATATTAGTTTCTCAGATCATTTTCTTATAAGCTGAAATTGCATCTGTAACCTGTTACATTTAATATGGGCTTGGTCCATATTTTATTTATAATCAAATAAATCTCAAGCCCACAGTGATTTGCTAACGATGCATCATAGTTTTAATCGGGGATTCTGACTTTTTATTGAGTCAACTTAAATAGGTGAACTACATGTGCACATATTGACAAGTTAAAAGAGGCTAAGAGTGTGCCACACGTGTGCGCGCCGCTGCCGCCGAGGCAAGGCGAGCGTGGTTTGGTTTTGCTTTAAACCCTTGCACTCTCCCTCCAGCCCTAAAAAGCATCACTCGAACTCTTCCCACTGCGCCGCCACCTCTCTGTCGAGCTACCTCTGAGTTTCCCCATCCCAAACCTCTATTAGGTTTTTGAGGAGCGCCGCCACGACTACTCGCCTCCAAATCATCACCATCTGCTTCGCGCGCACCCCCGGATCGTAGCGCACACTCCCTAGTCGACTTCGACGGATCGTCTTCTTTCTGGTGCCCGTTCGAGTCGAGAAGATGCACTGCGAATATCTTCCTGCATTGACTGTGATCCGCAACTTCAAGCAACACACGATGATGACTCGGTGTGAATGAAGCCATTAGTGCCTTGAGCATAGATCCCTCCGCAGGGTATAATAACCCCTCTAACTTTGTGAAATTCTATATTGTTTTTGTCATGATCAGTATGTTCATAGTTGCCGCTGGTAGTTTACACGTGCACACATTTGTTATCACGAATTCACTGCTATTTTTCTCGACTAAATTTAACATGAAAATGCCCATTCACTTAACATAACCAGACAATATACTACTGGTTAGATTAGAGCTTTAGGCCATGTAACAAAGATTCGTATTCCACGTGTAGGCCATGTTCGCTTCTCTTATAATCCGTCTTTTTCAACTTATTTTTTCAATCGGAACAATGTTTTTCTCTCATAATAAATCAGCCGGAACAATATTTTGGCTTTTTTTTCAGCGAAGCGAACGGACCGTATACTACAAAGTAGCTAGTACTGGTACAAATTTGGATCAAATAAAAACGTGACGAATTTACCATTACAGTTACAGTTGCCGATAAGAAAGAAGAACAGGACTATTCCTGCCACGTAAACAATTGATTAATTTAAGCGTGCTACGATACGAACAGCCACGCAGTTTTTGACTGTTCACGACTCTGAAGATATCCACCATCCAGTTCGACGACTCTACTTGGACCGGAAGCTGGAACACACACGAATGACGAATCGATATCCAAAATCCATCGTCCAGCAGCAGTTGACGCTAGTTGACCTTCCTGCAGTCGAGCCTGACCTCGCCCTGCGCCCCCGTGAGCGGGCTGATGGCGCCCATCCTCACCATCGCCCTGGCGAAGTCGGCGGCGAACATGGCGGCGTTGCCGCTGTACTTCTTCACCAGCGCGTCCTGCGAGCCGCCGCTGAAGAGCTCCTGGTCGGAGTGGAACAGCCCTTGCCTGGCCATCAGGTTCTGGTAGTAGGCGTTGTCGAACGCCTCGGGGCTCTGCACGTCGATGGGGGCCAGCGCGGCGTCGCCGGCGCCGCCGTCGCTGGCCTGCGGGCACGTCTGCTGCCGGAGAGACGCGAAGGTGGCGTTGATGTTGGCGTCGTTGTAGATGCGGTCGCGGAACGTGGCGCACCGGGCCTGCCCGATGGTGTGCGCGCCCGACAGCGCCGTCATGTCACGCGCCGACAGGCCCTTGTTGCCGAACATGGTGACGAGGGTGGCGAGGCTGGACCCGGGCCCCGGGAGGTTGGCGTTCGCGTCGCTCTGGCTCGCCGTCCGCGCGTCCCGCCGGCCGAGGTACACCGTCCATGTCGGCCCGCCAAGCTGCATTATATTGGAAGGTGGATCTCAGGTCTCGCGTCAGTAGCTTGCATTGTAAAGCATTGCATTGCGTCATACGAGGTTGACAGCGTCTCGGGCAGCGAGGGCGAGGATGTCGGCGCAGGAGACGGTGGCGTTGCAGGACGCCTCCACCTGGGTCTTGATGGCGTCGATGACCTCGTACCCGCGCACCGAGTTGGCGTTGGGCCCGGCGTTCTTCTCGCCGGTGAAGGTCGCCGTGTCGTCCAGCAAGATGGACGCGTCACATCCCTGCAACGTAACCGAACCAAGGAGCGCGCTCCCATCAGTAATGACGACGCTTTGGTACATGCTGTACAGTGCATGCATCGATCGGAAACAGGTGACAGATTAGAATGCAATCAATGTTGCCCCTACATTGACGAAGCAGTCGTGGAAGAACATGCGGAGGATGGAGGCGCCCATGCGCTTCTCCGCCGCCACGGCGGACGCCATCCCGGCCCGCACGATGCTCTGCACGTTCTGGCACTTCTTGCTGTAGAAGCTCGTCGACAGCCCGCCGCCGGCAGCAGCACCGGCCAGCAGGGGAGACAGCACCACAGCCACCGTGAGCAAGCACCTTATCACTGATGATGCGCTCGCTGCCATGGTTAAGAAGCTAACCGATCGACCTGATGATGTGGACTGAGACTTGCAAATAGAACTTGCTGGTGAGCAGCAGTGATGCAACCAGAAGATTATAGACCAATGGTTGATCGATGTGAAGGAACAAGGACCTGGCCAAGTGCTGTGGCTCCAGTTTGGTGCTTGCATAGTTGCATTGCATTGCCTTGGCCGGTTGGCCCATATGGGCGAGCGCCTGAACTCGCGCTGGATTGGTTGACTAATGCGCACGGCGTTGCCTCAGATTAGGGTTGGACTGTAGTACTGCTGCAAACCAGTAAAAAAAAAGCAAATTTGTCCTAAAAAATAAAATTTAATCAGAAGATCAGATCGGTGTAGACGACGCTGGTTTGGTTGCGCGCATGTTCCAGCAATCATCATCTTTTGTGAAACTGCAACTTGCTACTCTGTGTAGTGCAGAGTACATCGGAGTAGTTGGTCTGGTTGACGAGATTGAGGGTAATGGTGACTGTAATGGTGTGACTGAGTGATGAGAAAATTAACAGATTAAATAAATTCAAAAGTTAAAAAACTTTGCGAATTTGGCAAATGCTGCCTTCCTAGCATCTTTTTAGTTACATAAGAATGGTAACTATCGACTGATGAGCAAATCTACTGTAACTAATCAGCTTGTCTAGTTGGTGCGTATACTACTAATCTTAAATACTACTCGTATACTACTAATCTTCAGCTTGAGTTAGGCATGAAACGAGCGCGAGCTACCAAGAGCGTGTAGGTACGTCCAAGCTCAACCGGACTTTGCACTTGTTCCGAGGCGACCGTAGCTCTCTGAAAATCCTGATCCAGCCTATCATCACGGCTTGCATTGCATATGATCTGTTTGGAACCTCAATCACGATTATGCTTACTAACCTAACCCGCTAGCCGTAGTAATATAATACTACAACGTTTTGCTGCTGCTGAGCTGTTAGTTTGGTACGCTTGTCAGTACTAAATAAGAGGGTATGCCCATGCAACTTGCTCACAAAATTACGGTGGCATATTTGCATTTGATATTTAGAGCACTTCCGATAGGAAGGAATCATCTCAGTTCAAATAGGACTGTAAATTTAGTAGACTCTAACTCGCAAGGTGCCGTGTGCAAATAGCGCACATATATTAGCTAGTTTTTTATTGTCATTTTGGTTCTTTTTACTACATTTGGGTTGTTCTACTTGAAATAATTTTATTTATTTTATTTGATTTAATTGTCCTCTCTCCATATATCTATCGCTAACCAATTTTTTGGCTTAAAGCTATTATTATTTTCCTCTCTGCTTCTTTTTGTCCAAGTCCTATAATCAATGGCGGAGCTCGCCCAAAATTTTAGGTATAGCCAAAAAAACCGTTGTTAATGTTTAGCCTCCTCACATGGCAGGCAGGGAGACCATTTGGTGGTGTCCCGGATTCCTCGAAGATGCAACCTATCTAGTGCGAGCTATGGCAAGTCAAACATCTAGAATCACGCTACGGCGAGTATCTTCGCCTCCTTCAGCACCATCGACGAGGAAGCCACGATCACTAGCTTCAGCTTGGACAAAGTACATTGGATCCTCACATTGTGCTCCCATTCAACTAGAAGCGCGATAAGGCAACCACCTTGAGCAGTTGTGGCATCGATCCATTGTTTCCCAGCTCTCCACACCCTCCGTAAACAAAGCGGACGAGCCTACCATGCTAGCCCCAGGCATGGCACATCACGTGTGGCGCACCAATCATGGACACGGTATCAGCTCCTTAGTGGCGGACAACGACTATCGGACTAGGGTTTATTGCCTAGATACCTCCTCGTCGCTAATGTCATTCGGTGTCTAGGCAAGTAATGAGTCATAAGGAGACTAGGGACGAAGCGCTTGCTATGGGCGATTGGGCACTTGGGTCTGTTGTTGTTGGCATGTTGCCAATTGGTTTGTTGACTACAGAATTGGGCCAAACTGCTAATTTTCCAAGCATGAAACACCAGCGTTGTTTCGTTAGGATACGCCAGCACCATAGCACTACAGCAGAGAGGGTAGATGGTCGAGTCTCATCATCGTGGCAACATCTATCAATATCTGAAGCCTTCCTAGTGAAACAATGGAACTATCACTAACGCCGGTGAGCTATTGATCTTAGCCTTGTTACCAATTGCCACTCTACCTCACTATTGTCATCCATATTGTGACTATATTTGTTTCTGCTTGCAACTAGCTTTCGTGAAGAAAAGTGGAACAATGTGCATTGTGCTTGCAAACTTCTATGCATAGGGTATGGAGAGGGAATAGACTGAGATGGCTAGGCATACCTAGAGCATTGTATCAGAAGTTCTTTGATGATTTTTATGGGCATGGCAAGACATTGGTATGTAGTTTGGATAGTTCTTGTGTACGTTTGTTATCCCTTATAACATTGTTTGCGGTTCCATTATTTTTATTAATATACTATGGCAAAGTCTAGTTGTGACTGAATTATACACTATTATCTCTTTACGTTCTAATTATGTATGTGTTGGATTCTTTATTTATTTTACTTTACATGTGTCTGGATAGTCTAGACTGTTACAACATGAATCTATAGAATCAATGTGGTAGTTTTTAGCCTTTGAGAGAGTGAAAGAGACAATTTTAAATTTATTTGTTTGCTAATTACAATTTATGTGGAATATTTATTCATGAATTATTTTTCTTCCTAATTCATTTAGATATCAAAATGTTAATTTGTCTTTACTAGTTGTGTTTATATGGAGTCTTTATTTAGGTCCTTTTATTTTCCCCACCCGTTTTTGGAAACCAAATTGTATTTTCTATAATTTGTTGTTTTGAATTTACATTTACTAGCAAACATGCCTACATGTGGCAACGACCATACAATATGTTGCACGGTCACCTAGATGTTCTAACTCGTATAAGCACAGGTCATGGGTCCAAGTAATGGACAGTGCGCGAGGGCATTGTAGGGATGTAAAATATTAGGATGGATTAATTATGTTAGATATGGATATTTTTTTTGAATTACAGTACGGAGTATGGACATAGACACTCCTAAATGCATGTACATTTACCCCTATAAATGCACGCACCCGCTATAAGCACACCGAAAGACGTTGATCGAGTCGCCAGATTTCAAGATTGACGAAGTCACCGCAGACGTTTCGACGTCAATGGGCACATCGTCTACTAGAACAACTCCATTGAATCCTAGAATAACTTAAAAAATAAATATGAATATCTGCATCAAGTCGAGGACTAAAACATGATATAGCAGTTCCACCGTAAGGAACCCAATTGGTTGGCGCTAATTTACTAATCAGTTGATCATTGTAAAATCAAACGGGGTACATTTTTTTCTTTTTTTATTAACTAGGTATGCCTGTGCGTTGCTATGGGACAACTAAACTTTTATACTAAAAACACATAGATCGCATGATAAGATAACAATATTGTAAGTTTGCAGCTATTTTGCCATCCTATGGCTTCGAATCTGATTCCTATAAGCTTTAATCTTTGATTCCTATAGCTGTAATAAGCAGATTAAAGCTTATTGGGAACTCTTGCTGCTACCTCACCAGACTAAAGCTGCAAACGTCCTTCCTTCTATAGCTTTCTGGTACATAAAGATACTAACTGTAAAGTAGTAAGAATTTGGAAATTCCACCTACTAAACTATATACCTTGGTCCAGCTACTTGCTCCACATACTTCCAACTCTGTCAGTCCAGTCCTGCCACCCCCCTCACACATTACAAACGAGCTCACCACCACAGCATGCTGATGACTGTGCTGACCTACAGCAAAGCACCCACACACCTGCAGTAAGTCAATGCATAAGAATCGATCATTTTTTGGGTGATAAACAAATACATCAATGCTCTCCAATTAAACCAGCCCTAGAAAGCAATATACCTACCAGTTCTATTGTACTTCCGCTTGTAATGTCTGTAATTTTCTTTTCCCCATACAGAAAGTTGAGAAAGATGTGAAAGCTCGGACTAAAGGGGAACTCGGAGCTGCAAAAACATTGTGTACTCCATTTGAGCAGCTAGAACTTCCAGAAGGTATGGCTCTATGAGGGCCTGCATGCAAGTTACCTATGGTTTTCCTTGTTATGATTGTTGCATTTATATTGTAATGCTGACCTGTCTTGTACAACCTAAATTCAAGTACCCTGTGCTTTGCATCTAGAAAGCTAGCGAAGAAGTGGTCGTTCTGGGGCAGCAGCTACTGATGGCCTGTGGTGGGAGTCTTTTCGGATTCAGTTCTAGTGAAATCATGTAGCTTCGGAATTTTAGATACAAATCTGAAAATCCATTTACATTGTGTTTTACATCGACTTGCAGTTCTCATGTCATCACTGCTAGCAAAAGCCATTTGTTCCAGCATACAT